AAGCGTTAGTATGGTTAACACAAGAATGATAGTTGCCAAACAGTTTACAGAAAATAATTGTGACTGAACGGGACTTGAGGCAGGGCTGTTCATAGCGTATTTTGGGAATAAAATTAATTTTGTATTGGGGTGAAGGGAACCATCAAGATTGGAAAGATGAGGATTGAGCATCAGACAAATTAGGAACAAGAAGCTTCTGTGATCTCAAGTTCCAAGTTACGGAAACCGAGCAAACTAGAGCGCTCCAAATTCCTGAATGAATTTGAGTTGCTGCCAACAACAACAACAACTTGCACTTATATAGTGCTCTGGAGAACTTGGCTCGAGTTTGGATTTGAAGAAAATAAACGGAAGAGGCAAAGTATGGAGCTTGATGAGAACAAAATAGAAGCAATGACAATAGTAGTATTGATAAATAGGGGGAAAGATGGGTGGATTTGGAGAAAGGAGGTTGTAGATTAAAAGAATCACATTAGATAGATAGACCACCACGCCAGAATCTGGAGAGTGATCCCAGAAAACTCTCTCCAGAAAGGGAAGCAATATTTGTCTTGGACAGACTTGGACTTTATAGAATTAAGGATTTGGTGAGGGTTATTTTTTAACAATTAAAAACATTTCTTGGATACTGAAAGGTTGTTCCTTCCTCGAATAATATATTTTCAGCCTACTTTGATTTTTTTATATATATATTATGTATATGTATACTGTACATACAAAGACATATATATACACACACATATAAATATATATATATTATAAATTGGACCACAAGTTCTCTTTAAAGCTACCAGGAAATTTCCACAGGAATCTTTGTTTTAACAATGAATGACTTGCTCAGTAACAAAACAACTCTTTTTAATTAGTTTATGTCAAGACCACTTCTGGGTGTATTTTGATGACTTACAGCACCCCAACAAGATCTTATATTCCTGCTAATGCACTTAAATACCCGAGTCCCAGAGGTTTTAAATGGTAGTTCAGAGCTGTGATTCAGTTCAGCAACATTTTAATCACCGATAAATCATTATATAAGGCTATCAACGAAAACCAGCTGAAGGTACTAACTAGGCCGTGCACTGGTGTGACAGCGTGCTGTGATCAGATTGACGGCCACTCACCTTATAGGCTATTCCCAGTCTCGGCAACACAGTCATCGACGTGATGCCAAGCCTAAGGTACCATTGTTGCTCGAGTGACGTTTTAAAACTGTTGGCTAAATGGTGAAGTGGCTGGAATGGATATTAAAGTCCATTTGGAACAATGTCTCAGGTTACGGGAATCATTAATCCTGGCTGAGTCGCAAATTGGGAATTGTGTTGGTGCGTCACACCGAACAGTGGGGACTTCCGACCACACACATTAACGCCTCACAGCCTTTTACAAAGACCACGGGGATCACGGTGATAAGATGACTTCACGTCATGTCAACAAAACAGAGATGGAAATCAACTTATAATTCAATTGAACTAATTTCACTTAAACCTCTCCCACCCGCCCCCCACCCTTACTCCTCCTCATATTCCTGTTTAGAAAATCTGAGCTAGTTTAGTACAGACACAGAAAAATAACTACTGTGGTCATCCCACAATACCAGGCAAAGCCACAGACAGGAAACAGAATTTTTTTATACATACACAACTACGTTTTTAGATCGCTTCCTAAGCCACAAATTCTACGAGGAGTTTTTCTCAACCCATTCCAATTTGCAGCTCTTTGATTGGTGCAAGTAAAGAGAGAAAGATGTACTTTAGCGCAGGGCTGCTTTTAACTCACAAATCAACAGCCTTTAAAGCATTCCAGCAATTACAGACCCAGTACTTTAGAAGGAAATGAAACTCTCGGGTGAGAATGGTAAATATTTACCCCCAGATGCATTCCCAGTCGAACACAGTGTCGCAATGTTACTGTAGAAGTTTGCAAAGACGTTATCCTATTTGAAGAGCGCTGCATAAAGCAAGTTGTTGTTGTATAGGAACAGCAGAACTCTTGCTCTGAGCTGTTTCTCCCCCGCTACGCAGCCAACCACAAGACAAAAGCCGCAATCTGCCAAAACAGGCACGTGATCCAGCTCCATGGATGGCGTCACTGAGAATAATACCAACAACAAGTTACATTTATTTGTATGGTGCCTTTCACGTCAGGAGGACGTCCCAAGGAGCTGTACTGTTAGGGATCTGCACCCGAGTTGGTAGTTGGGATCAGGAAGGGTAGAGGGTGGGGGAGGGTTGGGGTAGGAGGGTGACCAAAGGCACATATCAGTAATATCACGTCAGTAATGTTTTGTCGTTAGTCCCCATTGTGTGACGTTTTGGGCAATGACGCAGAGGGAGGTTAGAGGAGAGCAGAATGGCTGATTTTGGAAAGGAGAGGCTCACAGAGCTGAAATTCACATTAGAAAAAAAGATGGGGTGGGGTTAGGGGGAGAAAAATAATCCACGGTCTTTAAATCACTAGATACATAGCCCAGAGACCTTGACTACAAGAGCAGAACTAAAGAACAAAATTATAAACTTAAATATTAAGCAGGAGTTTCTCATGACCATATTGTTATTGTTAAAACAATCCCTTAGTAGTCGGGAGGGGGGGGTAGGGGGAGAGGCAACAGGATACTGATGCATCAAAGCATGGTATAGACTTTGAGAAAATTCTAACATGTGAAATGGTAGCTTTCTTTCTCCAGGCTAGATTGGGTAGATGTAACAGAATATGGAGACCAGCTCGGAATAATCCATCAATCACTGTGACTAGTTAAGCATTCAAGATTTTGCCAGCTTGGTTTTCCTGACTTCTCTGTGGTTTTATTAATCACAGATCATAATGTCCATCTTCCTCTCACTTATAAGTGTGCAATCTTTTCATCCTTAGTTATTGTTTCACTAATCAACTGTTTGTTTATCCAAAAATAAATGGGCAATCTTAATGAAGTTTAAAAGAAAGTGTGTGAAGTGCAGCCCAACTGGTATAAGTGACTTGCTCCAGGGGGTGTTCGTGGAAAGATATACTGTACCTGATATTTTCCCATAAATAATCCAGGTGTGGGCTATATATTGGGAGATAATGTTTCATTAAATTGCAACTCAATTTGCTGTACTAATGTACATTAATAACCAAACCAACATCCCTGCAGCAGCCAAGCCAAGGGGGCAAGTAACATACAATTTGATATTTCACTCACCTATTCAAGAATTATATGTGAATGGGCAGAAGTTTGTGGGCTCAATCTCCCCCACACGTTTCAGCTCATAGTCGAGGCCAAAACTCCAGTGCAATACTCGGGGCACCACTGCGTTGTCAGAGGTGCCGTCTTTTAAATGAGACATTAAACCAAGATTCTGTTTGCCTGTTCAGGTGCACATTAATCTCGTGGCACTATTCGAAAAGAGAAGAGAGTTTTTCTCTCCCAGTACCAACTCTCATGTTGTTGAGGATCTCAGGCAGTTTTGCTTAAAGAGGCCATTTCGGCATCATTTCTAAGAAAAGGGCTGTTTTGGGGGCACTCACAACCTCTTGGAAAGGTAAGAGCTGAAGCAGCCAATTTATCAGGAGTGTGAGGCCAGACTGAAGTTGGATAATTTGGAAGAAATGGACCAGAACCAAGCTTTTCTGGCTGCATATCTTTGGCTGCGAATGGCTGAAATGTGCTGAAAAAGGTGGAGACAGCGACACCTCAACTCCATTTATTCAAATAAAACCATTATTAAAAGTACTTTTAAGTACTGAGGAGTCCTGTAGCTCAATGGTTAGAGCACTCGCCTCGCAAGCGAGAGACCTAGGTTCAATTCCCATCAGGGTGAAACCTTGGGCAAGTTTCCTTACTCCACACACCTGATAATAGCCCCTCAAGAAATAAACAAATAATAATAATTTGGTCACTTCAATCCACGACTGTTTGTGGAACGCTGCTGTGCGCAATTGGCAGCCGCGTTTCGCCCATAAATATATAGTCAATTCACTTTACAGGATATCCTGTGAAGCGCTTTGAAACGTTTAGAAGAAATGAATAGTGCTATATCAAATGCAAGGATTCTTCTTCTTATATTATTACTTTGCTTGGCAATTACACTGAAATGGTATTGAGGTAAATAAAACACAAACGGAGTCTCTCAATGAGTACAGACACACCATGCATAATTCAGTGTCGGGCGAAAAATAACCTGTCTCCTTTTCTAAAAGCATTCAGCTGATCTTTGATCAATTCACAAGGCCAACGTGGAAACTTCATGGCTGGAGAATGAAACTGCATCCTTCAGAGCAAACCACGTGACTCCGGATGTGGTAAATAAGCAGTTCTTTAATGTAAAAATCTAACACCAACATCAGTTTCAGATTCTTGGCATTCGAGGTCTGGACACAGTTTGGCTTCATTCTGTCCCCTCCCACCTCGGAATGTAACACACTCTGAATATAAAGCGCACGATTAAAAGGCAAAATAATATAAGAGCATGTTCTTGCAGCTGGTACCCTTAACAACATGGCTGTTGTTTTTGAGTCAGTTGAGATTCAATAAATGTATCTGAACACAAGCAGGCAAGGTTACCACCAATTTCTAAGTTTGAGCAATTAACTGGGGAGAAAGCGTTATCAGCCTGTACACTACGTCCTCATTATAAGGCTTGAAGTTGCAACATGGCGCTATACCAAATGTAGGGATTATTATTATTATCTAAATTGTAAAGCACCTTAAGTTTGTTTTGTTTTCATGATCTATTTTACACTCTAAGTGATTCCCTCCATCAAACGCACAAATAAGCTCTTGTGGATAAGCTCTTAAACTCATTCGACAAGCGCCCTGGAGAGAAAACGTTGCGCTGAAGAAGAAAAGAAACCAAACTCACTCTGTTAACCAAACCTGTGCTGCGTGATGTTGGTGGCCGATCAGATTATCTTCCCGCGACTGAAATCCACACACGCTATTATTTCACGTGAGCGTTTTAGCAAGGGAGATTGTGCCATGTGATCACAGACTGCCAGAAGAGGCACAAAATCTAGAAAGGTACCTGGAATAGAATCTGGAGAACTCCATGGATTGCACACATCCGGCGGCCCAGGAAAAGGAAGAATGGCACAACCAGCTCAATTAAATGATTGCCAAGAACTTCGAAGGAATGGAACCACCACGGTGATCGGTGCATGTAGTAAGCAATAGGATTTGGCACAGGCTGAGTCTGTAACACAGGAGACGAAAAAGGGAGGTTAATAAATGAGAAGACTTCGGTTCAGAGCCAGACTAAACCATTCAACACCCGTATGACCAAATCTTGATCTGTTATCAGTCTAGTATTGGTGACAATCAATGGATGTAGATGATTAGAAAAAATATGTGTGGGGTTACGGATTTCGATCTGAACAGAGGAGGAATGTCTCGCTCATATCATGGAACCAGAACTGGATGCAATACTCTAGGTGTGGTCTGACCAGAGTATGACTGGTTGGTTAGTGCAAACATATTGCTACTGCAGTATTTGTTGGAACTACGCAGGACTTTTAAGTCTCTGCTAACAGAGGAATGAGTAAATGTCAAGAGGACATCGAGAGCAGAGGATGCACTCAACACAATCTTTTACTTGTTGCTGAGTCACATGTTGCTAACTCACTGAGTGTCCATTATCCTGAAATATAACATGATAAAACTATGTCTTCACTGCCAACAAGCAGTGATAATGATCTCTGCGCAACCTGGAATTAATAAACCTGGTCCTTGTATTTGGATTAACTGAATGCAGAATCCCCCTGAGGTCACCACCGCATCCTTCCTTCCTTCCAACACCACTGGAGGAAGCCGTCTGCTATGGCTAGGAGTTTACCAATTGCACTGGTTAAGGGTCACAAAATTATTACTTCCCAGGTCACCAAGGCGCATGTGTTTGAAATGCTTCCCAAGGCATTTCCTGAGAGGAAGCAATTCAACTTGCTGTGATGTCAAATGCAGCCGGCTTCATTTTTAGTGATGTTTCAATTTTTAGGTTGAGATCCTTCAATTGCACAAGACGGGAATATTAATATTGTGTTTCACCTCAGCTACATTGTTAAAAAAAATGTTTTGAAATGGAATGGGAAACTGATCAGGAGATTGGGTTGAGAGTGGGTGCAGATAGTAACCAAACAACGGGGCTGTTGCTAAACAACAACAACAACAAGATTGCATTTATAGAGCACCTTTCACGTCGGGAGGACGTCCCAAGGCGCTGGACAGTTGGGTCGGGACCCGAGCAGGGGGGAAATGGTCACGGTGAGCGGAGGGAAGGGAGGGAGCGAGGAGGGGGTAAAGAGTCGAGAGGGGAGGTGAAGGCACGGTTGAGACCGGCCTTGAAGGAGGAAAGAGAGGAGGCGGCGAAGCACTGGGGGATGGAGTTCCAGAGCCTTGGGGCTGAGAGGCTGAAGGCCCGGCCATCGATGGTAGGGCGGTTCGGGCGGGGGATGTGGAGCAGACCGGAGCCAGAGGAACGGAGGGTTCGGGCAGGTAAGTAGGGGGATAGTAGGTCGGAGAGGTAGGAAGGAGCAAGACCGTGAATGGTCAAAACGGTTTCATAAGAAAAATGGAAACTTTTTTTTTACTGAATACTTTTCAGGCATAGAAAGAACACTCCATTACCCAGCAACGGGGACTCATTTGTGATATTTGCAAACCTTTTTTTGTTAATTGTGACTTCTGGAGGGACTGGATATTCTGGCCAGAGAACACTTGCACCTGATCAACTCCAAGATTGGATTCCCCCGCTGACAATCTATGAACTTCGAATGGAAGTGCTCCAGTCAAAATCGGGATCCAGTTTCAGGAATCTGAGTGGGAACCCACTGGCTCATGCAGGAAGGCCAAACGGGATTAAATTCTTCCAACCCGGTAAACCACACCCCAGTCCCCCAGTATTTTACATGCCAGCTTGCTTTGATAATACTCTTATAATTTAAGATCTCAGTAAAAACTGCAAACCCTCTGTCTGACAACTGACTTACACCCTATGTTGGATGGCCAAGGACTCAGATCGACCAATATCACTGTCAGGCTTGTGTGAACACCAGTGTACAGAGAGCTCTTTTATATGCGCCCTTCACCCGGGGTAGCGTCCCAGAGTGCTTGTGGAATAATGTGGAATAACAGTGCATCCTCATTGCCATCCAGTGTAAGACGCTAAAGCAATGTTGGTTAAATTCAGTTACAATGCACAAAACATTTCACAACAATGTAAGATTCTGTACTCGTTACATTTTTCACAGAGTGCTGTCTTAGCTCTTAAATTTTAATTTTACAAAGCTTGTTTTCACTCAACACTCAAACTAAGATGGTGAATCCGCTCTACAAGATGTTCCCTATAGTTTATATGCTATTTTTTTACTGCAAAGCTATTATGCAGGAAGAGTCTGCTAAACTATTTCTGAAGCCTCATCCAGAAGTGTCTGAACTGTTGGTCCTTAACTTCCTTTAGGTCTCTCTAGAGGTCTTTTCAGCAGACGAAGATAAGCTATAATTATGCACTCGTTCTTGACAAATTTCAGTGAAGTTGTCCTTTGAGTGTTAACACAGCACATACTGCATAAAGCTACATCGGAAACCTCTCAAAATCAACCAAATCAAAGGAGAGGGAAATTGCCCTGAATTTTCTTTGCAAACTTTTAAGTATGTTATCTCGACATAACTTGGAAATACACCGCTGGGGGCTAATTCTTTCTAGAAGATAATGGTTTTTTTTTTAACTTTGCACTACTCCTCTCTACCCACCTCAGAGATTTTTGTGAAGTCTTCCACTGGCAAACAAAAGATTAATTTTGTCCATCCTGAGAACCCCCAGAGGCTATAAACCTTGGATAGTGTGCGGATGTTCTACAAGCATGTGACTTAAACAGGAACATCTGGCTATCATATCACTGTGAAATAGCATCTCGATGGGACAATAAAACAAAATGACTTCGAAACCTACAATTACAAGGTAATTGTCTTCACATTCGGAAGAAACATTTATTTTCCTTTTTACCCGCCAACACAGCTCGTAGTTGTTTTTTGAACTGTTACAAAAGAAAATCAAAATAATCCATCTTGTTCTGAATCATTTCTTCTGAGCACATCATTAAAAAGGAGGCTGGGTTGTAGCTTTTGTTCGTTCGTTCAGTGTTTGTTTGGGAAAGTTTTCACCCTCCTCCTCCTCCTCTACTGGAGTCATCATCGGCCCTTGCATGACCATGGTTCCAGAGGCATAAGAAACTCCCAGGGCTGTTCTCAAGCGCCACCCTTCAGATATGTGTGTCCGGACAGTGAACGTCGAGAGACTATCTGACCACAGAGGGCGTCCAAGCCAAGCCGATGTGTTTCATATCCAATGAACACATTTACTGTTCAATTATCCGGAATGAAAATATGGGCTCATTTCCCTACTCATGAGGCCAATAGCTCTAAGGCCAATTGCACCATGCCAACTGCTGAAATAGCTGAGATCAACTAACTCAACACAGATCAGGAGTCAAACCTGCACCCTCTAAGGAATGTAAGGTCGTCCACTACTCAGGTAAGTTCATTTTAATCCAAAGCAGAACTTTCAAAGCCTTTTCTTTCCGACTTATAAGAGGCAGGAAACCCAACCTCCGCTGTTACACGTTTAGGGATTTAGTCAGGTGAAAAACAGAAATTGCCAAACAATCCCCGCTCCCCAATAAAGCTTCATCAGTAGCATGTTCTTTGCCAAAGGCGGAACAGGAACAGAGCCAAGTGGATCGTGTGTGCACTCAAAAGCACATCCAGAAGTTTTGACAAAATGGACTGGATTTTACAATGACGAAGGAACAGAGTTTATCTGGGAGCCCAGAGTACATGCAAGGGCTTTACTGTCTGAAGTCTGGGTCAACTTTAAACTTTTTGATGGAAAAGGGCCTTTGCACAGGTCAAAGACAGCAAATGCTCCATAGATCACTGGGAAAATAACACGCAGACAGCTGTGGGTGTTCTTCCTCTGTTTTCCCAAGTGCCACTTTACATCCTCCATACTGCTAGTATCTCACTAGCTAGTTGTCAACATAAGGTCAGGCATAGAAATTCCTTTTCTACCACAATAACCAACAGCGAAACTGACTAATCTCTGATGTCTGACATGGTTATGCAATGCAAGCATTCTTGAGGTCCACCGATCAAAAGAAATCCCGAGGAAGAAAGAATCAGATAATGAGACTCAGAATCCTTTCATGCTCGAATTGCTTAGGTCGAGAAAAGATCTGTAATCTCCTGTACATTATGGAGCCACGACAGATTGAAAATAAAACCTCAGAGCCAATTCCACCAAAAGAATCCTACCAAAAAACTAAATGCCTGAATATGGAAGTTAGACATCTTCCCTTCATTCCCAAAAGCAGGAACGCCGTGTGTACACCCAATCTCTCGAGGAGAAAATGGAGCTCAATTGCTCACTCCCTTCACAGTTCTGAGTGCGTAGGACATTGCCCTGACCCACTTCACCACTGAGTCTCAGAGATGTCTGCTGGCTGTTTGCATAATCTTGCATCTGAAAGAGAACTGTGAAAGTGGCCCATCAGATAAGCGAGGAATAAAATAGTGGAACAGTCTAAATCCACATGGATGAAATCATCTTTGATCCTGTGCCTTGAAAAGCGGGTGAACCACAATTTGCTGAATGATGGAAATACCCTTTTACCAGTACTGATAAGGGGCAGATTTCTACTCTATAATCAATTCACTTTCCACTGAATATGTAACAAATGGATGCAAAGAATAATTAAATCTTATTATGAACCGAATAGGAAGCAATGAGTGATTTTAGAGATAGCCATATGACAAGGTTAGTTGTGACTGAAATTTAAAGGACAGCTGAATCACGGAAACATGTCCTCTTTCAATGAGAAATTAACTTCAACAGGATGTCTCACAGTTGAAGATAACCACAGGGTTCATGATAGACTGACAATAACTTGAGTCAAGCTTTATTTAAAAGGCACCAAGATGTTTCAGAGCATTTTTTTTAAAAAGCAAATTGCTTGTTGCTCTACAGATACAACCATTTATTTGATTTGTTAAACACTGCATTTCAGGCCAGTTAAGTTAAATATTGAAGCAAACCCCAGCCTTAAAGAGTCAAATAAAAGCAGATTCAATTTTTGGCTGGAACGAGACCTATATATAAGCTGTGAACTCCATCAGTGTAATAATTCTTGATGTACTTGTGCT